GCCATGTGGGTTCTGCGCCACTGCTGCAGGGGCTGGGCTGGGACTGCGCTCAGTACCCCAGGCTGCAGCATGCATGGAGCCTGCTGGTGCAGAGCAAGGGGAAGGGGGAGAGGGAAAGGGGCAGGCAAGAGAACAGAGGTTGCATGGGAAGAGGGGAGATGGAGGGAAGAGGCTTCAGGAGGGAGATGGTGGGGTCCAAAGGTGGCAGGGGTAGGGGGAAGGCATCAGCTGTGGCGATGGCCCCAACACCTGGTAGTGGCTGGAGGTCGAGCCACAGCAGCTACCTGCCCCCATATTCAATTCTAAGACAAGGGGGTTTCCCCCCCATGTTAAATGGGGATAAAAAGCTCATCTTAGAATCAAGTAAATACACTAATAGGATGCCACACCTTTATGTTACTGCAACCCTTTTGCCATGTGGCAGTGGCAGTACCAAGAAGTGGGTTCAGCTGGTTGAAGGGCTCTTCTTCCTGAGCAACAAATACAATGTCAGCTCTAGAAAAATAGCATAAAACCTCTCTGGTTGTTTTTGCAGGAGGTTCTTCCACACTTGTTACCACTCTGTTCCTTCAGGAGTCTACACTTCCAGCTACCTTTATTTGGGAATAAGAGGAAAACAAACAGGAAGAAGCCCAAAAACCTACCACATACATATAAAAGATTCTAAGCAACCCAAATTAGGGGTCAGTAATGTAAAAAGGGGGTAAGTAGGCACCTGTCCTGGACACTGACCCAAGGAGGGAAGGGGATGGTACAAAAATAACAGCAGCTGTGCCTGGCTGCCACCAACAACGCTGTCACTGCTGCTGCCCTGTGTGTAGGTGCCTCCCAGGATACTCAAATGCCTGGTTACCTCTGTTCGAGGCTCAGGAATGTGTTAACCTCAGGTGGGGAACCCACAGCAAAATGAGAACCTCAGAAAATACCCAGGCCCTTGTAATTTGTTGCTCCTAGACCTCAAGACAGAGACTTTCTCCCCACCACATTTTGCTGAGGTTCAGTTTTGTTAATGAATCAGAGTCCACCACCTATAATTCAGGAGGGACCCATTCATCCTAGGGAATGTCCTATGCAATTTCTCTACCCTTTCATAAGTATAATAGGTCATATATTTATACAATAATACAATGCACAGCAATACATGGTATATCATATTATATGATTAACATAAGCATACATTATGAGCACACATTATGTAGCTTATCATACATTATGTAATGTGTGACAATGCATATGTCTAATAATAATAATACAATTTAAAAATTACAACCAAAGTAACAAAAATATCTTGACAGCAGGAATTTTGCAACGTTTCAACTCATGTAAATGAAGCTGGTCAGAGATGACTTCTCCTCTTATCTCCTACAGAGAAAGCAGGGACTTTAGCCTAGCCGGTGTTCTTGGCCCTGAGGTTAACATTACCATTGAAGACCCCTTTTTAACAGGCTGTGGACTGGGTCGGGAAAAGAGCAAAACAGAATGAGTCTGAGAAACAATCTCTGTTTCCTGGATTGATCCCCTGCCCTCCTTTTTTTTCCGCCTAAAGTCAGGGAAAAGGGAAAAGCAGGAAGGGAAGAGTAGCCCAACTCTGGGCCTGGGCCATTTGGCTGTTGACTAGGAACTAGTTACAATTTTTAAAAATTAAGGTGCAGAAGTGCCCAAGTATGCCTCTAGTCAAGGGGTTTAATTCCCCAAATATTTCTCTATCCCTCTAATATCAATAAGTAAACCTTCACTTATTTAACAGTTCCAAATGCAAATGCTTCAATGCCCTTGAAATTGGTGAAAAAATGTATGTAACTGATGTGGACTGAGGTCTGGATGTGGAGTGAGAGGGTAGAAAGAAAGATATTGCCTAGAGCTACCACTAGATGTCAACCAGTCCTTGTTTTAAAACAGTAATGTTGAGTATAAAAAGGCAGTTGAGAAGTGCTAGTTTTACTATTGTGTGGGCCTTTCTGTGCAAGCATTATAAGTAAAAATAGCTCTAAATGAATTGTCGTTTAACTCAGGTAATTTCAGAAAACACTTCATAACATTTCCAGTTACCTGTCTCCAGGCCTGTATAATAAGCATCCAAAAAGATTTAATTTTGCAATCTTTGGAGTTATTTAAGAGGGCAGATTATCAAATTATTTGCATTTGTTTTTCAGGAAGGATGTTTTTCCTTCCTCAGAGTAAATTCAGGAAATGGGAGACGCAGTCAGGAAACTAGCTCAATACCGATGTAAATACAAAAGGAAAGTCTGTTTCTTGCCAGCATGTCTGCAAACAGTGGGTTCTTTCATTTGTCTTAAAACGTTATAAATGATCGATTTAGAAAGTAAAAGAATGACGATAGACACCTCCTCAGAAATTTAACTTCATAAATCAGCTTTTTTGCTGTCAGATTGCTGGCAGGAAAATAAGCCAGGAATAGAAATCCTAACTGAAGCCACAAAGATTAACCTTTTATTGGCACATGAGTATAGCCTGATGTAAATGGTTTGCTCTGTTGTTGTACCTTTCAGCTGGTGCTGCATATAAGCCTTTAAGACTAGGGCCCCCAGACTCCAAGGTGATGGTCACGCTAAAAGAAAGCCCTAGGAAGACAGAAGAGCAGTGATTTGGCAGAGTTATCTTTAGCAGATCAGATTTCATTTGCTGCTTCTCTCCTTTAGCTACTTTTGCACTACCCAAGTAAAGCTGTCTATGTGCTGGGCTGTTCCCAGAACATAAATCAAAACAGCTGGCTATTAACCAAAGGCTATTACAGCAGCTGGAATTTGCCAGGGTATAAGGCCTCCTAAACAAGGATCCCATCCAAATGCAGGAAGCAGCAGCAGTCTAGTATCTCCTGTAGCAGCTCTACCCCAGAGGAGTCCTCCGTACAGTGATGATGAGTCTCCCAGGCTGGTTTTGGTGAAGCAGCAATATGGCATTAACACAGCTGTAAATCAGGGCTATTCTGTGCCTGTAGAAGCTCTCAGCAGTATCAGCCATAATGGAGCTTGGCTATAGCTTTACAAAGTGTTCCATACTGTGCTCAAATGCTACCAAGCTTTGGCAGTCTCACTGAACTCTCTGGGAGGAAGCAAATGATGTGAGCTCTCATGTGCATTATTTTCATCTCCTGCATAAACCAACAGCTATGTTTTTGACCAGATAGAACAATGACAAGTAGCAGAGGTTGCTGTAGGTCACTTCTTCAGAGCTACCCTGGCTTGCCACTAGAAGTCATTGCAAGCTGAAAGTGGTGTAGTGAGCTGAAGTGAAAAGGTAGCTTTTTGTCTTGTTCTTACATGTCAAAGTATCTGCCTCATAAAACTGAGTTACTGAGCTTGCATGTTTTATCAGAGGCCATGGTATATATATTCATGGGGAAAGAGATATTCTCTCACCTATTTCTGTCCCCCTCCATGTCAGGCTCAAGACACCCTAATGTAGTGGCCCGAAATACGCTCCATTTCCCATTTTCAGGACATCTTTGGTCACACACTATATTCTCTTGTGATATCAAGTCCCCAACATTTATCATGATTCCCAAAATAGGTCTGAAAACACACACATAAGCACATACACACACTTGTTAAGAATCAGAGGCAAGTTCTTTGTGGGTTCTGTGTCATACCAACTGCTTTCATGTCACTTCATGCCCAATCTTTCGGAAGACCTGGCTTGATCTGTTGTAGTGGGTCAACTCTAAATTGAAAGCTACCTTCCACTTCGGGGTTCATGTTAGTTCAGGAATTAACTTGGGGTCTACCAGTAATATTCTAAGGCATCTAAACAGAAGAGTTTGACACTGAGTGACCTGCATGCAGCACTCTTCAAAATGATCTTCTCACACATTTTGGGCACCTAGATTTGGGTACTGTTCTTGAAAACTTGACTCAATAATCCCTGCAAATTATTACATAATAAAACCTATTGTCTCCTTTACAATAGAGGCTGGGGGGCACAAACTCTAGCGTATTTAAATATTAAAGTAAGATTTAAGATTATGCTCATCTAAATAATCCTCCATGCTAAAGTCCTACTGGTATAAATGATTTGAGAATCTTAAGTTAACAATTAAATCATAAATGATCACTCTAATGTTAAACCAGCTAGTGAAAACACACAGGAATAGTATTTTGCTGCTCAGCTTAACTGTTACTGTATAGTGTAACTCATAAGTAAATGTAACATAAAAAACTAAAAAAAACCCCAAGTCAAAGTGCTCATGAATGCTCTTCCTTTATGCTGCAGCCCCAGTGAAACTTGAAAAGGATATGTCTTCAGTAACATTGGAGAATATCCATAGTAGCAATCCCTGGATTTCAGGGATGTTACAAAGGGAATTTGGCTCTCACAAAAGCCACTCAAAGTATTAAGCGACCCATCCTTAACAGAAAAATGTTCTTCCTAGAAGGTAGGGCAGGGTAGAGTTATCTGCCTTTGTTTCAGGCTCTCAACATGTTTCATGTCTTAGGCCCAGTCTTGCCATACTTGAAGTAAAAGGGCCTGCTTGAAGCCTTTCCATCGTTGGGTTCCCAAAACCAACTACACAATCTCTTTTTGCCCCTGTACATATCCGCAGCTGAAGAAGCTGATTCTGCCTATCCATTCAGGAAAGCCTGGATGCCATACAGAAACGTAACAGGGTACTGCTGCTTCCTCACCTGTACCCTCAGCTGTGGATCCCAAGCATCACCTTTGGAAAGTCCCTCTCATTGAGTCTTGAGGCTTTCAGGAATAAGCCAGCCCAAAATGCTGAAGCAGATGTAAATTTGAACTGTTTCCATTGATTATAGTACTCAGCTATTTGCACACCTCAAAGATTCTAGCGTCTAGGTTTGGAGCCACAACGAGTGTTTTAACCCATCACAGCTACCTATTTATTAAGCTGAACTCTTCATTCGTATGTATTTAAAGACAGGACTATAGTTATACAGTTTACGGTGGGGGAAAGGGGGCAGCGAGGGGGAAAAGGGAGAGATCCTTCTCCCCACCCCCCGGCAAAAAAACCCAGGCTCAGTAAGAATCTATTACTAATTCACAAGGGTTAAAAATTTATTTTGATACAAAAATTAAATAGCAAAGTTTTGTACAGTGATAAATTAGAAATTTACAGTACATACATCAATGTAGATATACTTTCTGTACACTCAAAAATAATCAGTGTCTATTTCTTTATAAGTTCAGAAAGAAAAACTAATTTGCCTGTTTAACACGAAGTAGCCTAGTTTGTACCTCTGTCAGGCATTTCAGAAGCCTGTGGTCAGCACAAAACACAGCTTGGGGTGGGACTGTCTTGAGAAAGAGAGGGAGGAGGGACAGAGCAGGGAAGGTAACTGCTGTAAAGTTTCTAGCTCTGTATAACCACAGCAACTGCACTTCCGAGGAAGGATTAGTCACACATTTTTTGGCTTTAAATTCATAACAACGTTGTAGTGAGAGAACATGAGCGTTGCAGACACTCGCTCTTCGTAACTACTGGGCCTCAAGCTTTAACTAGACACAAATCCCTGGACTACAACAGCTCATGGCTGGGTAAATCCACTGACCTGTTACATTGCTGCAATTGAAGAATCTAGGCTCACCGGGTCTCAGGCTAGCACAACCCCTCCAAAAGTACGGGAAGAGTTCTCTCTCCAGGCACTAATATGCCTCCTGCTGTAGTGTTTTGAGTGCTCACAATTTCTAACGGATATATCCTCCAAATGCTCCCTTGGAACAATTCAGTATCATCCTGATTTGATTTATTGTTGAATGTCACTGATCAGTGGCGATGTCCAGCCACATTTTGAGATGCAAGGGCACTTGGAAAAGGCACCACTTACCGTTCAGTTCTGTGTAAGTTACATGGTTACAAAAAAAATGTAAACGATTGATTGTGCTAAACAGTACGAAGTCCAAGGTATGTCTGTCAGTCTGGGTCACTGATCTCCCGTATCAGTGGAGGGAGACCTGCGTGCGTTTGGCCCCACTATCTTAACCAAATGATCCTGCTCCTCGGTCCCTCAGAATTCAAAGCTAACTTCTGATTCTGCATCCTCAGTCTGTCAGGGAGTGGATCAGATCACCTCACAGCGAAGTCAACATTTTCAAGCTTGCTGGAGTTCGTTTCCTAAGCAGAAAACATAGCTCCAAATATAACATTACTGTCCACATGTAACAGCAGAGACATAACAGAAAGGATCAGAAGTCTCAACTAGTATGCAGAGCTAGTCAAAACAATGGCTTGTGTTTTGGGTAGGATGTATCAAGTTGTCACTTGCTCTGCTAGTGAGTGATCTCAACCAAAGACTGCAATTAGGTTTTGGAAGGAGGGACAGGGGAGTGTTACATGTGTTTAAGCACATGTGTTGGCATTAACAAAGAACGACACCAATCTCTATGAAAGAACACTACATAAAAAGCTACTCTCTGAATGAAATGATGTTTGGGAAATCCAGGGGGTACCTGTTTTTAAGCTTGACGTTTCCTATAAGGCCATTTGTACCCCATGCTACCATTTAAATCTATTGGAGTGGAAGGCACTTTACAAGTTCTCAGCACATCACCATGAAGCCCTCTGTATAAAAACCACAAAACAGTATTTTAGGGTACACAGGTGAACTTAAGGGTCCTTCAAGGGAGAATTGTCCTGTAAGTGTCTGTAGGTTACGTAGTTTCATCATGCTCCACAACAAACAGGCCTCTGGCATGAAGCATTGGCTTCTTGTTGAGAAGGAGCTAGAGCCTTTTCTTGTAATAGGATAACAGACCTTGATGGTTACTATGAAACAATATTACTCACCAAGACGCTGGCTTGCTTTTCTTTGGATCCCTTTACAAAAAGGAAAATGTCTCCATTGTTCAAGACGACTGAATGCCTGCTAGCATTCGTATATATATAACAAAGTTCTGCCACTCGCAGCGAGCAACCAGACCATCGTTTTAAGACAGTCAGCTGTACTGCTATGTCATGGCTGGAGAATGTTCTTTTAATTGTATCTGACACACACAATTATACCAAAAGATCTGTGTGAACAAGAAGCTGCCAAGAAACTTAACAATTCACTTCTCCCAGACTGGCGTCTGCACAGATACAATCACACTGAGCGAAATATATTAAGTCTTAATTGCTTAATGCAATGGGTCTCTGGGGAGAGCCAGATAAGCTTACTTGGAAAAAAGCTGTGTGTTATTCTGAAGTGACCCCTCCTTCACTTTCCCTCATTAGCTCCACCTTGCAGTAGGAAGGAGGACTATAAAAATAAGACTTCATTTAAAATTAGTAATTGTTGAGGAATAAAGTAGTCAGTGTGTGGAAATAAACACGGTTATCTGAAAGGACCAAAAAGGGGGAGAACAGAGAGGGAGAGAAAATCACAAACTACACATTTGCTGTTACGCTTCAGAGTCCAAGTGGTTATTCTTTGAAGAAAGGCATTAAGCACAGGTCCTAAAAGTACTGATGCTATAGACAGTATTGTCTATATTGCGTGTCATCCTAGACATTAAGATCAGGTTGTTAAATGAGCGACAGAGCCATCCTTCTTGACACCTCAGGAAGCCCTACCAATTCACTGTTCATTTGTTGCTTTCACACCTCAAAAGTTCCCCCTGGCATTTGTCTGAAAACATAATCTTTGGCTGTGTTATGAAATGTGCAGGCTTAATCAAGGCACAGAACATAAGGGTAAATCTTAACAGGCTCTGATCACTTCCTTCAGGACACTGAATTCAAAAGGAGGGAAGACAGCCAGGTGAAGTGCAGAACACCCCACACCTCGGAGAATTAGACCCTAAACCAGCCCAGAATTTGGCTCTAAACCTCCTTTCCTCTGCCCACTACGAAGTGATTGGGGAACACAGCGCCTAGCAGATGTAAGGTCCTGTGGCTTCTGAAGACATAAGTACATTGCATCATGCTTTAAACAAAAAGTTCAGATTTTTCACAGCTTTTAAAGCCTCCCTGGGCTTTCCTATATTGGGCAGCATTGTTTATGGCTATTCTGTTTGCAGGAGGCTTTTGAAATGGTTGCTTATTCTTTAAGGTTTTTTTCAGAGACAAATTTTTGTATTAATTGCCTCACTCCCCCCCCCGCCCTCCCAGCAACATTTCTACTGCAAATGTTTATACGTGAGCAGTCCTTCTGGGGAGGGAAGTCAGCACATTGGTTTTCATTATACCACTGTCTCATTCCCTTTCCCAGGTTTTACCCAGCCATCTGCTCTCTTCTCCCGTTTCACTTTCCCTGAGTTCACCAGTCTGTTAGAGCATTTTTGCCATGTGTGCAGAGTCTTGGCTGACCAAATCCACATGCCAGACGTGATACCCACTAGAAGAGACATGAAGATTTTGAGCATCTCCACAGCCATATTGGAATCATCACCCGAATAGCGGAAGACAGCCCAGTTGGAGATTTCATAGAAATAACAGGCGATGACACAGGTAGCTGGGACAGTGTATAGCACTGAAAAGACCCCAATTTTGACCATCAATCTTTCCAGCTTGTCAGTTTTAGTCCCATCTTTTTGAAGATTAGACCTAATTTTAAACAAGGCCACTAACCCTGCTGCTATGAATAGAGTTCCAATAACCAAGTAAGTGAAAAGTGGAGCAACGACAAAGCCAGTGAGTGCATCTAGATTCTGGCTGCCGACATAACACAGACCAGTGAGCTCATCCGCATCGACCAGTCTCATAATCAAGATGACTATGGTCTTCACAGCAGGGATAGCCCAGGCTGCAATATGGAAATAGGAGCTGTGCATTTCTATAGCTTCGTGGCCCCATTTGAGTCCGGCTGCCAGAAACCATGTCAGTGTCAGAATAACCCACCAGATGGAGCTAGCCATCCCAAAAAAATACATCAGTAGGAAAATTATAGCACATCCTGTGTTCTTAAGACCTTCTTGGATAAGAACAGGTTCTGCTGCCTCTTCAAAATCACAGGATATCCTTTCCCGGCCCACAGTCAGCCTCACAATATAAGCAATGCTATAAATATTGTAGCACATACTCAGAAATATGATTGGGCGTTCGGGGTAAGAAAATCTGGATGAATCGATCAGGAAGGTCAGGACTGTGAATGCAGTTGATATGAAGCACAGACTTGCCCACACCGCCATCCAGATATCAGTAAATTCCTTAGCTGATCTGCTGTAGAGACCAGCATCGTAGCCACACTTAAGGACACAGTTCAAGCTTCTTTTCACCCAGATATACTGGTCTGAATTAGATCCCATGGCATGACATTCTTCTCCTGGCTGCAAGGGCATCTTGCTGTGAAGGGGAACCTCTTCATCTCCTGGGCCCTCCATGCACATGTGGTTGTGGTCGTTCTGAGGTGGGAATTTACTGCAGTTTAGGCTGTCTGGCCAGGCAAATCCAAACTCTTTTAGGACAGGTTCACATCTTCTTTTGACAGAAAGGCACATGCCACCGCAGGGACCTATCGGGATGTTAATCTTCTCTGTGCACATGGGAACGTAGACTGAACAAAGGAAGAACTGGAAGAGAGAAACAATAGTCATATTTGTGTTCAGAAGAGAAAGAGAGAACTAGGTAAGTTCAACATGTCTCCTTTCTGTCTTCTTTCACAGTGGAGCTGAGGATTTTGCCTAAGCCAACAAGGAGAAGAAGCCCCAAATTCTCATCCCTTTTTTCAATTCAGAAATAATTTGAGACCAAAACCCGATTGTTTTACTGACCAGATCGGCCTTACTGAAGCTGGGTACAATTCAGCCCTAGATCTAAACATCAGTGATGCAAACTAAGGTGGAGTATCTAAATTTTAAGAAAAGAATAGAGATTCATGTAGGAGATGGTATAGAGCTTTTAATACTCAAATGGAAGTGAGAATTTAATTGCTACAAGAATTATTGCAGGCATTTTCTTCTGTAAGAGTGCCTGTGTATTTAAACCAAGTTAGACTACTGTAGCACGTTTAGCTAGTGCAGTTGCAACTCTGACCTATGGCATAGTAAATGAAATGTAAGAAGGTTAATAAAAAAAAAGCATTTAAGAAAGCCAAGCAAGGGTCAGTTTGGGAATTCTGTGTGAAGAAACAAACTCGTTTTTGTTTGATAAAATCTAAGCTGGGGTAAAATAAAGCTCTTGCCATTAACGTGTGAGAGCAGCTCCTGCGATGAAATTATTGGAAGGACTCCCCTTCCCACCCGTGGCCCAAGTCCACCTGTTTTTTTAAATGACAGAACATCTCGGCCACTACAAAAAAAACCTCAGGAGCGGGGAAACTCTTGCAAAGGGCCAGACTTTCCCAAAGGAGGGACAGCACCGGTTCCTCTTGTCCGTGCATCCACCCTGCACGCCTGCTGCTCTACCAGCCCCTTCCTGCCGCGAGCAGCATAACATAGGGCTGAACGCAGGGGGGGCTTTTAATTTTTTTTTTCACATGCCGGCATCTGGGCTGGAAAGTCACCTCCCTCCTTGTGCCATCGGGACACTTTGTACTTGTGCCATGCTCGGGGAGAAAAAGGGGGGGGGGGGGGGGGGGGGTTGTTGTTTTTTACAAGCCTGTGGGAAGAGCCCTATCTGTGCAGCCTGGTGACATCTTGAAACTGGGACGACCCCTGATTTCAGGCGCACTTTCTAGCCCTGGAAGCGGGGCAGGAAGGGACTACGGAGGTCATCGGGTGCCCGGGGAAGGGCCACCCCTCTCCCAAGCACCCCTAGGACTGCAGACGGGCCATGCCACACCA